TTAAGGAGTCTCTTTATATTTAAGTGTACAGACATACACACTGAGCCGTACCCTAGCTGTATCTCAGTGAAGTGGTGTCTGTCTCGTCTACCACATGCTTGTTTTTCCACAGCAGACTGGATGCAACCACACTTCCTGCCTTGTCACCATGGTGACAGAGTAAGTCAACAGAGCCTAAATGACCCTACACAGTTGTATTTGCATCACATAATAAGGCACATAGATGATGAGTGGTCTGTTTGATTGTCAGCATACAGTAGCAGAGGGATTAACGGTGGAGCTCTGAACAGCAGTATTTTGTATTCACAATAACACAATAACATTGTAATATGATCTTAATGCAGAGTACAATGTGAGCCATTGTACTCTGCAGTTCTTAGGCCCAAAGCATCTAGTTTAGCCTATGTAGGTGCTGAAGTGAGTAAATACACAATCATAGACATTATCTGGATGTCAACACTTTCAACTTATTTCAGAACAATTTCCATAGCAAGATAATCTCCCTCAGTACAAACCTGAGAGTGGGTACGTTACCCATGCCTGGCAGCATCTTCTCTACAGGGTTCAGGATAAAGAGTATTTAGCTCATAGCTTTATATAGCTCATTACTTCCTTTTGATGGTTCCTCGCGGCTAGAGAAGAGCAATTTGTGGTGATCATTAATATTTCAGTGTATTAAGACAAAAATACATCCAGGAAAGTGTCACTGAGGTGCTGCCATCACCCAGAATTAAAAGAAAAAGGTCCTTGCATTGTGGCATTGTGCATTGAGATCAGATTAACCTTATACTTCTGAAAAACATCACTACAGTAACTGAGAAAATGGTTAAATAAAAGTGGCAGAGATCCCAGTTATAAGCTAACTGAATGTAGTCTAATACAAAAGCCATAAAAAAAGAAAAAAATGCTATAATTCAGATCTGTAATCTTCCAAGAAGTAAGACCTATTGCTTGGCTGTTGTATTAGGCTACTTTAGATTTCGCTGACGAGTTTGCAGTAGTAGAAGTATTTGCGTTAAAGTAGCAGGCAAGTAAAGGTGCAGAGGTCACACATGCTTCAGTACAACACCTGATTAATGTATATACTTTTAACCTGGTGTGTGTATAAGGGCAACATACTCTATCACCATTGTGTTATATCTTGTAGCTATAGAGAGAGTGTTATAACGGACATTTTTTGAGGATGTGCGCACTAAAATGTTAAAATAGTGATGAGGAGAGCTTTAAGGCATTCAAAAGACTCCAGCATGGAGGAAATATCTGACAGACTGAAGACTGTCAGCTCTTACTACTCTCCTCCGTCTGCCTTCAGGTCTCTGTCTCTCTCCCTTTATACAGCGCGTCTCTTACATCAACTCTCTGGAAGCATGTCAATGTCATGTCCTCAAACATCCCCTCAACTGCCAATCAAAAACACACATAAGAGAGAAAAAAGGGACAAAGGCTTGGGGTTTATGCAGGAAGCCAACTGTTAACCTTCCTCAAAAAAGAGAGCTTCTATCGGGCGTTTTAAAAAGGGCAAAGACTTGAGGGTCTGCCTGCAAAGGGTGGCAGACCTCAGCTGTTTCCAGCCCTGCTTTCATGTTTGAAGCCCTTTGGTCATTTTTTTGTTTTTTTATATGCAGCAGAGTAAGTGACAGGGTGAAATTAGTGAAAGTGACCCAGCAGGAGGTTGATTCTCAAGTCAACGTGAGTGAGAGGTTGTGTGTAGCTATAGGATATCTGAGGCAACAAATAACAACATAAAAGCTGATTTATTTGAAGATAAATCCATTATGGCACTAACTCTTGTTTATTCTATTGTTTTAAATATCGATATACAGCATGATATTATGGATTAAGTATATTTGACATAAAGATGTTGTGTTTATCAAACATAAAATAATCTTAAGTAAATTGACAACAGCACATGACAATGCCTTGATTTCACCAGCAGTACAAACAGTGCAACATATCAGGATTAAGGCTTTTATAATGTTGAAATGATTATAATATTGGAGAAATCATATCCTGTGCATAATGCTATTGTCCACAGCTGGATGAACAATACGCACATCGGCCACAGGAGGGTAAAAACACATCCACGTCTACTACAGTAAATCTTATGTTTCTACAGTTAGCACCTGATAAATCCACAGACAAGAAAAACAAACCAACCTTTGGCAAGCCTCGTGAATTTCCATTTCATCTGTAGGAGAATCCATCACTATCGCATCCGTGCTCTCTCCTATTATCGAGCAAGCCTCCATCTTCCTTCTGTTTCTGCTTTATATATAAAATAAACGCATAGGAAGATGCTCTGTTATTTTGAAATGGGCTTACCAACAGTGCCCATCTGCTCAGACTGAGTCCACGCGGATCAGCAGCTTTTTTCTGAGGCTGATACTACGGAGCAGCACCGGGGCTGTTTGGGTTAATCTGCCCCGAGCTGCGCGCTGATTGGCGGAGCCGCGGTGATGCTGAGGCCGCTGCCTGGTCGCTGTCCAACCGGCCGCGGTGCTGGAGCTCAGGGTGACGGATAGTGTGTGTTAAGTGTCGGCTTAATTGGCTCGGACATGAGCTACAGATGCTGCTTAATGTATGTGGGGAAGATGCACAGACAGTGGTGCTGTGTTCAATTAAAACGATCATTCAATTTGGACGTCAAGCTGTGGATCATATCCCATGAATAATATGAATGTGCAACAGATTTATCTTGTCAGGGCTGATGAGGTGAATTAAGGTTAGGCTATTTATTATTGTCAACGTCAATCAATAATGAGGAATTTGGGATAAAAATGCACCCATGCAAATCCTGTGGCAAAAATAAATGTCATAATGACATTGTGTTTCAAATTAGAGACATGTTATTGAAGATATACCATGGGATTTACCAGTTGTGTTTTTTAACTGCTTTACAGATTAGCCAAACTCTTCATAAGAACAGCTTTTGGGTTGCAAGATTTTGTAAAATCCATTTGACTGGCCACTGAAAGCAAGTACCCTATCAAAACCAAGTACAATTGCAGACTAATTAAACCACCCTAATATTGATTCATTAAGGCTTCAAGCTGCAGACTAAATCATCCTTACTGTGTCTTTACCAAATAAGAAAGTCGAAAAAGAACATTTTCACACGGTTCTTAATGTTCTTACGGTGCCTAATAAACCGAGAACAAAACCCATCAATGAACCAAGTTTAAACCATAACTCTTCATAAAGGTGTCTTATTCAAAAAGTAGTACTCTGTAGAAGCATAGCCAATCATTCATCATAATATATTACCTGTGGTAAGCCTGCAGTCATTACTCAATGATGAATGACAATGTAGCTCTTAAATAAGGAAGATAAAAATATAAAAGAAAGGAAAAAGGAAAAGAAAAATGTCTTTGACTTTGGGTTTTTTTCTGAAGAGAAGTGAGAGTCACAGCTGACCGGCACCAAAGAAAGGAGAAAGTGTAACACAGCAGACCTTGCTCTAATGAGGCGGCCGCTGGTCTGGCTCTGGTTATAAATATGAATCATGGCGCAGAGCCCTCGTGTCTAAGGGGCCACCTCAGAGGAAAGTAAAAAGGAAATTGATTTATTGGAATAAAGGCAAAGATCTGAAAAAGTAGGATGTGAGAACGTCTGGGAAGAGAACAAAGTCCTTATCCATGGTTTTAAATGAGAAGCAGTGGAGGAGGGATATCTTTATTTGTATCTCAGTAATGTGCTTCAGTGAGTCGTGATTGGCTGATTGATTCAAAACTGATTCATGGTGAAATGAGACGACTGACTCAGAGCTGCTATGAGAGAGGGAATCAGTCAGAATCTGAGTTGGAGAGATTTTTAGACTTCATGTTTAAAGCCTGCAGCTGAAAGCACTGAAACCTATAAGTGGACTTCCTAGATTAGACTTTCTTTGTGATCTCCATTCTCAAGTTTGTTTTGTGCACTGTTGTGCTTGGATTCAACAAAGGCTGCTGTGTTGATGGTTGGCAGGGAGGCTTCTGAGCAGCCTGTCTTGCAGCTGACATAATGCCTTGTTGACTCCAGACACTGATTAACTTACACTGTTGAGCTGCCACACATACACTCGAGAAAAAAATCTTCCAAATAACACATAACCAAAGCCTGACAGGCACATACTGGGAAACACACACACACACATACACATATAATGAGAGGCTGAAGAGAGGGGGGTGGCCTCTGGCTGGTTCTGAGGTGACAGCCATGGTAATTTCCTGTGGCAGATCTCTGATGCGAAGGGAAACGCTTCATTACAGCTTCAGTGCAGCCTCAAGATCTGTGAAACAAACACAGTTGGAAAAATAATGACAGGAAATTGAAAAAGTGGAACTGTATGGAGGCAAAGAGCAGGGTACTTTTAAACTGTGTGAGTTTTAAGTTACTATAATGGTTCTGATCAGTGATAAAAACAATCTCGTCAGTGGTTGTTTGTGATTTGCTGCCACCTGTTGGACATATTGTAAAAGTGACAGCAGTACTCCAATCTCCTTTGTCTATCCAATAATCAAAAGAAATGTTTTGATGTATGGTGTTTTATTTTTAACATCACTTTAAGGCTAAAATAAGCTTATAGTTTAAATGAACCTGATATTTCCTTGATTTTATGAAATTGTTATTTTTCTTAATAATGTCAACATTACTTAATTCATATTTTACTTATACATTCATACCAACAAAGCATAGTGAATTGAAAATTAATCATCATACTAATTAAAAAACATACTTTATTTTTGTTGCAATCAAAGTTTAATTTCAAACTCTTTTTAATTTTAGTTTTTGTGTGTGTGTCTGAGTCAAATAAAAAATGTACAATATTAATGGCCGCTGCATTTCTTCATGCTCTGCGGACGGAGAGTCTGATTGCTGTTGTAAAATCAGCTGCGTAAAGGCGCTTTGACACGCGGATTGAGTGACAACATGAGGTCGAGCTCTCCTGCGAGGTTGTTCAGCGGGTGTAAAGTTACGAGCGGACAGGACACACCTCTAGAGGGAGTTCCCGGGGAGATGGAAACGAGGAGCTGATCACTCCTGCAGCAGAGAAGTCAGCAGCCCTTTCACTCTGAGCTGAGCGGAGGTCCGAGCCTGCGGCCGTGCGTCTCTCCAGCAGCAGTAGCCGTGCCACGGGAGGGAAATGCCCGGGATGGGCCACTCTTTACGCGCGGCAGCCCTCCTGGCTTTCGTGGTTCTTTCTATTTTGGTGTCACTCTTGATTAGCAGCGTGCAGCAGTTTGGAGCAGGAATATATCACTTTTCCAATGCAACTGTTGCTGGTGATGAGGAGGAGTTCGCGTCGCTCCGCGGGGCGTTGATTTACCAACTCAACCAGAGGCGCAAAGAAATCATTCCGCTGCTTTTACTTGATGGTGAGGAAACCTGGGAAAGTTTTTACCAACGTGATCAAACACAAGACTCCCCTTTGGATTACAGTCTCTGGAATGAGATCACGCATGGCTCCAGGAAAGCGCATATGGATGAAATGGATTGCCAGTCTCTGGTGGACATGCAGGCGGTGGAGGTCCTCGGGTCTGGATACACTAAGCTGGTTGTCAAAGTGAATCTGGCCGGAGGTCAGCCTGTTGCGTTAAAACTCGTCAATGAGCAGGGGATCGACATGGGAAAATGTGTGGAGGATTTTAAAGACCCTCGAGGGTGCCGTGAACTTGTTTCTTACAAGTTGAAGAAAGAAATAGTCCTGTTGCAGAGGCTGCAGCATCCTAACGTCATCAAGGTAAACTGCTCCCTCTGTCTGCCTTATGTGCTTACATTTAACCTGTTTGAAAAAAACAGGTTTTTTCCACTTGAATATTTGTTCCACTTGAATATTTAAGACTTCTGTCTATATCAAAGACACGTTATAGACGATACATTGTACTGCATTAGAGACTTCTGGTCACTATTAAACACTGGTGTTAAGGCTGGAATATTATTAAGATTTTCCATATTCCTTCTCAAATTTCCCTTTGTCTCACACAGCTGGATGAAAGGCCACACTGGCTCTGCAGGAACCTTCCCATGTAATTAAATTAAATTCACTGACCCTCTTCTGACCTCTGGGTCCAGTTTGGCAAGAGCAGACAATGTGCCTCTGTCCCCTCTCTCTATCCCTGGTTGCATCTGAAACCCCCACAGAGTTTATTCACTCAAGCCATTACAGCCCAATTTAGACCTAGTTTGAATTAAACGGACAAGTTTGTTACTCCAGCAGCCGTGTGACAGCGGTGTGTCCAACAGCTCATGAGTCGATTCAGTTAAAGTGTACAGAGCCCATTCCCCTCTAGGCTAATATGAAAAGGCAGAAATAATTTTTTCTCTTTCACTGTGACTAACTTACCGTTACTCTTCACTTCCGCAGCTCAAAGGTCACTGTGCAGGAGATGCTGGAGGAAGAGGAGGAGAGGGGGGGAAAGTCACAGTCATCCTGGAGCAGGGGAATCCTCTCCAGATGATCCAGCTGCTCCAGAGCCCCTGGGAGGACAGATTCCGGGTAAGATCCGGCTTTCAGCTGTTCGATGCGCATGGTCTTGTCATTTAAAACGTTTCACTACACTGCGAACGGGGGAAGTTGAAACTCTGCCACATATTTGAAACGTTATGGATGTGCAGGCTCTCGCTCCTCTTGGCAGTAGAGGCGGAGGTTGAGAGATGAGGGAGGCGGACATTTGAAACTCCTGAAGGTCTGACATCTGTCCCTCAGTGTATTTGATCAGGCCCTGCCTGGAATGGAGATGGGTCCTGGAGTTAATCCACTGCAGGCTAGGAATGTCATGTCATCACACACACACACACACACACACACACACACACACACACACACACACACACACGCACACACGCACACAGTTTTAGTCAACCCCCATCACAGGTATGCTCACAGTTGGAGTCAACAGAGGTTGAATTTACACTCCAGGGATCCGAGCGTGTGTGTTTGTGCATGGGCGTGTTAAAAGAGATTTTAGTTTATAAACACAATAAAAAAATGGAAAATAAGAAATTAGAATGCAAAGATAAATCATGAGTACATAGAAATCGGACTCCGACAGTAAACAATAGAAGTGCCATTATACTAAAAAGCTCAGAGAATTTTTTTTTTTTTTTAAATAAAACGAGAAATAAAAACAACCAACATGAAAATCAGGTAAACAGATCAGGACCAAGAAGGAGAAGGGTAAAACATAAAAAAGCGTAGGACTGAGATGTAGATGTTAACAGTTCTTAGCCTTTCTTTTCATGTTGTACATAAATGTCAACATAAAAAACTAAAAAAGTAGTTGGCATACATGTACACAGGGAACGGGGACCTACATGCCTTTCCACGTCAGTGAATATGATATTTACCCAAAATAAACAGAGAAAGGAAAGAATGGATGCCGGGTCGTGCATGCTTTGTTTTTCGGATTAGCAAAAGTAACAGCACGGTCTGCAAGTATCATCCCAACTATGGGCCTCATTTTGCTACATCACCCAAATAGCCGTTCATAATACCCCCCCGGAGCTGCACGGCCTCTTTCAGCTACATTGCATCTGCGCTGGCTACAGTAATCCAGGGGTGTTCGGTTTCAGCCAGCCTGTTATTACAGTTCTTCGATCCCACCAAGTGACGTCCAAGAGACCCGAGCATTACCTTACACTGCAGCTATGTTTGTAGTGTGACAAAATCATTTCATGCTCTGTCAGTGCGTGGCTAATGCCTTTATGTTGCCCTTAGTAGTCTACTTATTTTCTTTTTCTGTTTTATTGTAGGATTTAAAGAGTGCTATAAAAGCAGTCTCAGGAAATGGCTTGCAAATGTGGCTGCAGAAACGTCTTAAAAGAGAATAACGCAATGTTTTTCTGAGAGGGTTTTTATGTTTCACCATTTTTAGCAATATAGTCAACTTAATTACATTGTCCAATGGTTAACCTTTTTTTGCAGTGTTCAGCTTGACCACCATGAACTATTTTGGGTATCTGAGCATTTTATTAAAGGATTTTATTTGACAACAAGTGGCACGAAGTTGGAGGGAAGCCTGTAATCCAGTCATTTCTGTTGAAGTACAAAAACTAAAACGGGGCTACAAGTAGGGCTGAAAGTAACAATTGTTTTAGTTATTGATTACCTTGAGTTTTTTCTTTTTCATCAAATAATAATTTAAGTCTTTATTTAAAGCATAAATGCAACATAAAAAATCCCTAATTTCAGGTTTTCCATTATAATTACTGATGTGTTTTTCCTTCTAGTAAACAGTTTTTTGTGTCGGAACGAACAACAAAACTCAAAAATAACCATTACACAACACTAAAATAAAATATGAGCAAACCCTCCCAATCCAATCGTAGCGTATGAGATAACTTGGCCTTTGCCTGTTACTGTGCACATAAACAACTAGTCATCCATCTGATTTTAATCTCCCTCAGGTGTGTCTGGACCTGGTTCGGCTCCTCCACTTCCTGTCCCAGTCTCCCCTTGGCTCCGTGGCTCTGCTGGACTTTCAGCCCCGGCAGTTTGTCACCGTGTCCGGGGAGCTGAAGCTCACCGACCTGGACGACGCCAGCGCCGAGGAGACCTCCTGTCAGACACACGCAGACTGCACCCTTCAGTTTCCACACAGAAATTTCACTCTGCCGTGCTCGGCTCAGGGAGTGTGTGAGGGCTTGAACGAGAAGAGGAACATTTACAACGCCTATAGGTAAGAAAAGTGACACGTTTACGACATAATAGACTTGTGATGGATGGATGTTGCAGCAGCTACGTGGATGATTGTTTAAATATCGTTGTCTTGGTGAAGACATACAGCTGGAAATGTGAGGTTTGATGAAGGAGGTGTGGTAAATAAATTGGTAGTTTCAGTGGAAACTAAGTAGTCTTTTCTGTTTTTCTCAGACAGCTTTATGGACTGTTTGTTTTAACACTGGTGTGAGACATGTCATGTTCTGTGCTATGTGATGGGGCTTGTCTGTCTGTCTGACTGAGTTGTCTTTGCCTGGCCTTAGGTATTTCTTCACCTACCTGCTGCCTCACCAGGCCCCGCCTGGCTTTACACACCTGGTAGACCACATCATGAACTCCACAGGTGAGGATAAGAGACGTCTTGACATGACGGGACGCTCACTATTGAAGATCAGAAAGCAAATCATTCCATTATTGCAGTCGTGTAATGACATGTCTCAGTATAAGTGCTTCTTTTTAATGAGCTTGACAAGATGCTTCATGACATGTTACAAGGTAGTGAAAACAATTTGTAATCTGTTGAGATCACACAACTCGGATAAGACAGGAAAAACATAGTTAATGGAAAACAAATCATTCATATTGGATAGTATGACAATAAGCATGTAGTCAGTTAGACATTTTATCAGATTTGAATGCATCTTGTGTGCCCAGGGGAGCTAAAAGCTGACATCAATCATACGCTGGAGGCCTTTGAACACATCCTCCTGCTCTATAAGTCTGGCCTGCACCTGGACAACCTGCCTCCATCAATAATCAGAGGTAAGAGCTTGTGGAATGAAGCCTGCTTTTTATAAAGTACAGTGGGCCCTCTTGTAGACCCTTTTCCTTTCTTCTTGGAGAGAATGCTTGGCTCTTTTTATCCCCCCCTTTTTAGGGAAAACTCAGACAGTCTATACCTCTGTTTTCATTTTGTATCTTTAGAAAAATGAAGGGGGGGTTGTTCTGCCGCTCTGGCTGTTTTGACAGGTTTATTAGGCAGCTGGAATGAGAGGACAAGACCAACAAAGCGGGATTAATCCTGCATGTCTCTGGCTCAGAAAGCGCAGTCGGCTTTCATTTAAAAAAACAGTGCTAGGATTACATCGAATTATTCTGTTCATCCTTTCAGGATAGTCGATTGTTTTGATACACTTTTTGTCCAACTTTTGCATTTTTGGATTGAACAAGTAGTTAACATACTTTCAGAATATTCACACAAAGTACTTTCTTTATACACTTTAAGTTGTAGGCCTACTGGTATGCTTTCAGTATTAGCACTAAAAGTCCTTCACTTTTCTTCTCTTCAACTCCCTCCACTCACTTCACTGCGGCCCCCCTCCTGCCGCTCCTCTCAGCTCTATGAAATATTAATAACAGAATGACTAGCTGCGTTCCTGTGGTGAGATTTTCCGTCCCCCCAGATGCTGGACTGTTTATATAGCAGCGCTTTGTGAATTTAATCACAGATTCAGAGTAAAGAGGCCTGGGCGCTGAGGCTGACACCAGGAGGGAATGTTCTAGCTTAACAAGGAGGTGCCATGAGTCAACCCTGCTGCTGCGAAGTGTGTGTGATAAGACTCCAAAAAATTTGTGTGTGCGATATATAAAACAGAGGTGTTCTGTTAACATCTTAAATGTACTTCAGTATAACCTAGTTTACCGTAATTTAGCTTGGTTGAGTTTTATTCATAGTTCAACATATTGGCAAATACATGTATTTACTGCATTCCTAAAAGTTAGATGAGAACATTTATACAACTCCTAACAGTATCTAATGTAGTATGTAATGTGCAGCTAATTTATCTCAAGGACAGAACACGGTTGCTATTGGCTAGACTGGCTCTATGCAAAATTCAAAGTATCTGCTAAGAAGCTAGTTTTTGAGTTGACAAAATTATATTTTTGTTGAAATACTTTCTCCAAAGTCTTTATTATTCCTTAAAAGTGGAATTAGGTGGACTTTGATACAGTTAGACGGAGCCAGGCTAGCTGCTTCCACTCTTTGTTCTTAGCCGAGCTACCTAGCTACTAGCGTTAGCTTCTTATTCATACAGACTCATACAGACATGTGATTGCTATTCTTTTTCTAATGTAACTCTCCCTTAGTGGCAAACATTGATGTTCCCAAAATGTCAAACTGTTGCGCTATTGGAATAAACAACCAGAAGAGAGAAGCAAGGATGGTGCAATTTAGTGTTAAAAACACATTGGCTCATTAATATGTCTCTTCTGGGAGAGAACAAAAACAGAATTGCAGCCAAAGACCCAGCGAAGCTTGATAAAACAAGCCAAATAGCAACACATCTCATCGCAAGTGTGTGTGTGTGTGCATGTGTGCATGTGTGAGAAGACTCTCATCAAGTCCTAATTTGAAATTGCTGACAGATGGAGACTCATTGGTAATGTGAATGTAGCTTCTCCACAGCTGAGATCATTTGTGATTTGATGGAGGAGAACAAAATCTGGTCAAGACGTATTTAATTAAAAGTATGAATTTAGTTGTGTAAAAAAAGGCAAGGAGTGAATTCATTTAGGTCCTGACATTCATGAATAAATTCTTCGCATTACTTTCACTGCAAAGCTGTGTTCCCGTCCTTCTTCCTAAACACAAAGAGCTTATATTCATACGTCTCTGTCTCCTCGACAGCTGAGGCCTGCCACCCTATAGCTCCCCAACAGGCCTCTTTTTGCTCCCCTGAGAAGGATCCTCGAAACACTCCTTCTCCTTGTTCCCTTTGCTCAAACCCAGAAGGCAGATCCTCGTGTCCCTTTCCTCTTAACAATACCCTCACACACACTCACACCGGCTCCTGCCATTTAGGAAGGTTAACAGTTTGTAACGAGGTGCCTACTTCGTACAGACTCACAGACTAGGCTTTTGTCCTCTTCTGGTGAGTGTGTGTGTGTGTGAGAGAGAGAGAGAGAGAGTGTGTATGCGGACACATGTGTGCATGCTTCTTTCTCATGGCTCCTGCTAATGTGTAGCAGATGATTTAAGGCCAGATCCACAAGAAGTCTGACTGAAAGAGTTATAATGATGAATGTGACGCAAATGTTAGGCAGGAGGAAGGTGGAGGGAAGTGATTTTTCAGTATGGAGCAACAGCTAGTTGGAGAAAAGCTCAAAAAGGTGTCAGATTTGTACAAAGACCGTAATAGGCGCACACGGTTATGGCCATTAATATGTATAATGCAAAACTATTTTACCGTAAGCTTTATTCAAACAAAAATTACAAGGGTTTTATGGTTCAAGCTTCTCAGTTTTGAAGAATTTCTTCTTTTTCTTTTGTGCATGTGAAAATGAAAAGAAAATAGCAGCTATAATTAAGATGAACATTTAAAGCTTCTTGTACATGCATCAGACATAGAACATATTTTGAGGCACATCTCAGGGCTTTAAGAGGTTTAAAATTATAACTAAACACCTCTATATTGTGGTACATGTACGTTTTACATCACTTCTTTATAGTATTTTTTATCATGGTGAAACACATCCTTTCTTTTATTACAAAAAACACATCCTTCTGTTGTTACTGATTTCACATTTTTCTTTTAAAAAACAAGTGAATATAAATGAATTTATGTTTGACCTTTTTAACCTGTCAATCATAACCATATTAGTTATCCTGAGTCAGTGAGAGCTCTGTAGTTACATGACAAAGTGTAATATGCTGTATTTTCACCTTCAACCTGTTTTTTGTGGTTCTTTTTCATGTTCTTATCTGTATTCTCTTCATTTGATGCTGCACAGTATTGGTTTCCCCGAAAGAATGATTCAACTTGAATCTTATCCTTGGAGAGCACTTGGAAATCTTTCAGTAGCCTCATGTGTTGAAGTGGCATCTTTTCCTCTGTGGTTAGATTACACCGTGATGCGAGGCATGGGGACCTCGGGGGACACAGAGTATCGCTGCTGGCCGTCCTACAGCCAGCAGGGCTGCCTGCTGTCCGTCCACAGCGCCAGAGAGGCAGCGTTCATCTGCAACTCCCACTCTCAGTGCAACAGCTTCACTCTGACGGGGCAGAAGACATGGACAGGTTAGTAAAGCCACTGAGAAACTTTTTCTATTCTTTTATTCTGTTTCGAGATGTTTTTAACACATTGCTAGTTACACATGTGTTCCAGCTCACTTTAATGTGGAAAGTCATTACATGAACTAAATCATCCAAATACACAAATTACTCTATAATAATAAGCATGTATAATTACCCACAAGATCACTTCTGACTAAGACTGCTGAGTAAACATATTCAGCTGCAGCTCTTTTAATCTGATGAAGCTTTTAAATGTTCTGTTAAAGGAACTCAAGTCAAGACCTGTTACTTTATTGATGTTGCAGATGTGTTTAACATGCCTCTTTTCCTCTTTTCTTTTTTCCGTGCTGTGCAGGTCGCCTCCTGGCCTCTTTCAGGAGCAGCTTCAGTCATCTGGTGCCCGATGGGACATCAGAGGTGTATGTGAAGAAAACCAAAGCTCCTGAAACCTCCACAGTGTGACGCGAGGAACAAAAACAGAACATTCCTTTTTCAGTGCAGCCACAGAGTGGGATGAGAAATAACTAGCGAAACATTGCGCTTAAGATGAGAACTGTGTTCCTCCTTGTGAACATGATGAACGCTGCTCGGCTCTCTGGGTTTGCAGGAGGAGCGTATAGAGGCCGGGCTAAAGAGGCGTTTGAAGTGAGGCAAGTGAATGTGATGTATTTATAGGGCTTCTGCTCAGTGACTGTTTGATCTGCCTGCCAGCTCACTGCCTCTGCCAACTATTTAAAGGGATTTCCCTTCAGGTACAATTAAGGAAGGAGAGCCTTGTGCACTCGACATGTTTTTTTTTCCTACCTATATTTGCCATGTGTGTTGGCTTTCGTTGTGAGGCCGGGTCCCCATAGTAGGATTTTTAAGCCAAAGAGGTAATAAGAACAGCGGCTGCAGCTCAGCGTTTGAAGCCTGAGGACGAGAAAAGAAAACAAGCTCTTATACAAATACACTTTGATGTTAATGCGCTGAGGTTGCGGCTGTTTTTTCATGGTTCCCTGGCTTAGCTGCGCTGTGGTATGAGATGGCAACAACCATGTAAGCATTTCCACATCAACAATGAGCAAATAATTAAAACCATTCCAGATCAGTCTGTTATTTACATACTTCTTTAAACCTAGTTTATATTGCTTAGTTCATAAATATTTATGTGATCGAATGAAATGTAATTGTTCTTACATGATTGTGCATTATAGCTTACGTGCACCTTGTGGGTGATACTTTTATTTTCAATGAAAAATTATTCACTTTTTTTTATACTTCACTTATTGTAATTGTACAGTTTTACAATTTTGTAATTATATAAATGTATTGTTTCTACTTTTTGCTGTTTTGTTCATTTGCATTTTTAATACATTTAGTCTACCTTTTAACTAACAGCCTGTTTATTTCTCATTAGCACCTTTGTGTGTGTGTGTGTGTCAGCGGGGGAGGTGAAACTGACCTGATTTTGTGTGTTTTAAATCCTTTATCTGCTCGCGTGCCCCCACATCTACAATCTGTCTCCCATCTGAATGGGTGAGACTGCAAACCTACGGAGCACCGCAGAGTTTGCACAATACCAGAGGAATGCATTCAAATGCCCCGTCATGCTGAGCTCATTATGAGGCTTAATTAATACATGTAAATTAGCTTACTTACCGTCCCTTTCTCATGTTGAGAGAGGGGGCATTACTGTAAGACAAAGGCAGTCATCAGGACAATCAGAGCCCAATCTGTGGTTAGCACACGAATGGGCTTGCCATCTGTGCATGCCAGGAGGAGCCGGGTGAGGTTGAGATAAGGGCAGGGTGGCAGGTTGAAGGATTTGTAAAGTCAGGACTTGTAGCAGCAACAGAATCTGGTGGGAGAGAAAGAGCAGACCAAATACCAGTGATGACCTGATATGAGCCAGACTTCAGTAATACGGCATCCCCCACCCATTATATATTTCCTGTTGCTGTTTAAAGGGGGGAAAACCAGAGAAGACATTTAAAATAAAGTATAAACATTTATCAGAAAAAAATAAGACCACTAAACAAAAGTGAAATGAAATAGAGATATGTTTGAATGTGTTGACTCCATTGCCATTCATCCATACAACCACCACTGACGTGAAAGGGCACGTCTTCTCTACAAATTACACTTTTATGACTGAGACACTGGGGAGGCCTCTGGGTCCTGTTTGCCTCATGTTGGTCCCTTGTTGTCTGGACAAAGCTGGCTGATTAGAGTCTGATTGTGGAGATAAGAAGTCTGAGTCAGATGAGATAAGAACAAACCAACTCACTGGACCAACACAGCAGGACTGGCTAGAAGGACTGGTTGGATGTGGGGGAAATAATCCCCCACAAGATGTGTGCTTTATCTATGCAACAGTAAATAGGCTTTCTACCTCAGTGAATGAAATGCAGATAGCCACCAAACAATCAACATTCGATTTGTAAAAGGAATGGCTCTGGAATTAAGGCTTATTTGCTTTCCTGCGGAGAGTTAGAGGAGAAAATGGATAGCTCTGTCATGTCTGTAGCTACTGATGAAGCCAATTAAGCTAGCACAAAGAGAGCCTTTTGGTTTCCTTTATTTAAGTTTTTGACACAGTTGAAGAATGGTTTTGTAATGATTGATACCAATCTCACATGGTAACTGTCTGGTAAATTCAAGGCTTAAGCTAGCTGTTAGCTTAACATGGATACAGGCTCTCAAATGGAAAAACAGTTGGCCTGGGCGGTGCCAAACGTAAAGTAGCTTTAGAAAGAAGTAACTGCTACTAGTCACTGCCAAGGATCATGAGTGTGTCACAAAAGTGGTGTCGTTGTCAAATCTTGGTAAACACTCATATTTAGAGATGCTTAGAATTAGATTTTTTTACAATTTGAGGTAGCCAGGCTAGCTTTTTCCAGTCTTTGAGCAAAAGTAGCTAGCTTATGAATGGCTGACTCAAGCTGGTCACACTGCATAACTTTCAAACCATTTATTCAATTGTATGTGACACATGATCATACAGAGCACACAACTCCCCAAGTGATAAGCTTTTAATTTATTGAATTTTCTGTGTCTCATCCTCCTCTACGTCGCCTAGGAGAAGAAAACGTCTGGCGTCTGACTGTTTGGTCTTGGCGCTCCCTTTGACAGAGCTAATGGATGTTCTGGCAAAGTCTGTAGCTTGCGCACATTGTTTTTATTTAAATGGGGTTTTTTTTCAAAGGCAAAGCGATGGAGAAATGGATTCATTGGGTCATTCAGTTGAATTTAGTCTATATTCACAACGGTGTGTCTATTGTCATGTTCAGAATGTTGTAGTGTGTGGTGCATCATAAACTGCAGTTGTTCCAGTGGAGGTCTTCACAGCGTACTTTTTGTATTCTCATTTGAGTCTGAAAGTACTCTCTTTCTTCCCTCTGACTTTGTTTATATAGCTGGAAATATGTGTGGAGGTTTGAAGGTTGAGCCCCTCTGAGCCTTTTCTGTTTGTTTACTTATGAAAGTCATTTTTTTGTTAAGGGATGTTTTCATAATTTGCATCGTGGTGAAACGTTTAAAACCATCATGTGGTATTGTTCCCTTTATGTTCATGTGTGGTACAATGTTCCTCTGTTTTTAACCGTGTAATTTACAAGTTGATCTTTTTTTTATAAAAAGGTTCAGGGAATGAGCGGGGGTGCAGACAGATTGTTTTTTTACTCAGCTCCATACCCTCCATTTCTGTTTTTTTAAGTTTCCAGTTTCACCCGACTTGTTTCCGTCGGGTTTTATTCATGACCTCCATCTGGAAATAATATATGTTCATGAAAACAAGCCATCAGCAATTTTAGGGAAGAGTTCTATGTGTGTGCAAGAGCAGGGAGGGGGACATAAGGGCCTCTTCTCTAGGGTTCAGGCTCCACCAATGTAGCAGTGTTAGTGCAGTGAGAAAGACATGAGTAAACTAAGAACCAAAGCACCCATCATCCTCTCTTAAAATCCTGCTGCAATGCATTTGTGGTCTAGCTTAAGTCTTTGATTCGAATGCAAAGTTAGTCATCAAATGCAAGAAACCGCAGCTGCTGCTGGGAGAAATTACGTGTCAGGCAGGTCTTTGGCAGAATATTTGACCTTGGCTCAGCCTAAAAATATGCATTAACTCAGTGAAAGCCTGCATAGTTCGGCAGGAAAGAAGATCTGGCTTGTGTTTGAGTTGCTCACAGGAGCGTATGCAGCCTGTGACGGGAGAGATAGAGCAGATATTCACTCGACTCCGGGCTCACAGAACACCTCTGTGCTTGTCTGCCGCCTTGGCTGCGGTACATAGGAGACCAGCCGGTCACACCTGAGAGCCTCTGAAGAGTAGCCAGACATTTAGCCGGCCCGTCCCGAGCACAGAGGCTTCTTAGTTTGCAGGTCGCTGTCTGTATATCTAACTAACTATTTGCCTGTCTGCCTGGAGCTGATACAATCTCTTTTAGAGCCATAATGGCTTTAGCAGGCCCTGAAGGAGAGAGAGCAAGTAGGTGTGTGTGTGAGGAGAGGTTTTCATTTCTGCCCGTCTGCGTTAGGGGGGGGGGGGGTGGCCAGATCATGTTTTAAAAGCCCTGAAGTTAACCCCAGTCAAAAGGTTTATGCCTACCACTAAAGCCACAGAGGCATCTTGAAAGGTGTAATAGCTCAGCGTTGTATCCAGTGACATCTCCATGGACCCACTGCATAGCTTCCTGATGTAAAGCGAAACTGCATGGCTGTACAATTTGCCTGAAAATTGAGACTTGTTTAAAAAAAAAAAAACAGTTCAAAGCCAGCTTTCAAACATTATTTAATTATACCGGTGTTTTCTCTCCATTGAATGTCTGGAGCCACACTGGGTTGGTATTGCACAACCTTTTTTTGGTTATGAGATCCCCACATGTTCTGCGGCCCTGCATTCCCTCCCACTGAAACACAGCAGCAGTCTGGGTCATTTTTCTTTTGAACCTTCCCCCACCTCTCTTCCTCACCAGTCCATCCATCATACAGAGTCTCTGGAACCTCCTTTCACCCCACCCGTGCTCCCATGTTGCTGCCTGCTGCCCTCCCTCTCTGTATGAAACGCTCCTTCAGGCCAAAAACTCCACAGTTTTACAATTAATTTTAGCCTCTGCCGCTGCTGTTAAATTGTTCCACTCCATACATAGCTTCAACCCTCCATCAGTGTCCTCCTCCTGCCAATCTTCCACTGCTACCGTCTTTTTTCCAAGTCACAGCCCACAACTGCTGTGAAGCATCTGGAGTTTCCCCCGACTTTCAACCGGCTGAGACCTGAGGGCAGGGCTGCCGAGGATCTGTGTGTGTGTGTGTGTGTGTGTGTGTGTGTGTGTGTGTGTGTGTGTGTGTGTGTGTGTGTGTGTGTGTGTGTGTGTGTGTGTGTGTGTGTGTGTGTGTGTGTGTGTGTGTGTGTGTGTGTGTGTGTGTGTGTGTGTGTGTGTGTGTGTGTGTGTGTGTGTGTGTGTGTGTGTGTGTGTGTGTGTGTGTGTGTGTGTGTGTGTGTGTGTGTGTGTGTGTGTGTGTGTGTGTGTGTGTGTTTTCAAATCAAAGTGCCTGCCTTTTGTTGCGGGGTCTGGAATCCCCTCCGTCACACCTCGGCCGATTCTCAGCAGGGGGACACACTGCCCCCGGCCAGAGGAGGACTTCCTTCTTTACAGTTAATCCTCTACCGGAAATACACCAAGACCCCTCTCTGAGTCAAACAATTTTGTACACAATACATTTGATTGAGGACTTGATAAGCTTTTCCAACTTATTCAAACACAACCCTTAATTTGCACATAACATTTGACCTTTTCATTTCACGCACAATTAATAACCACTCTTCTCATTAATCTTGTTAAACTCTTAAAGACTTCTTGCAACAAAAAAACACGTGTATGCCAGATGAGGAAAAATGTGATTAATCAGAATCCTAAAATAATTATATCTTTATTTTACTATTTGCTATACTGCTTCCTCTTTAGCTTTTTTGTGTGTTACCAGATGTCTGGTAGTATAGATGTCAGATTCAGTATACGGCAGTCTCTTGTCATCTTATGTGTAAAAGGCAAACATATTAGCCATGACAGGGAATATAAAATGAGCTTACTTTAATAGCTTTCTGTCTTCTTTGATACAATGCAGCGCAGCTTCAGTTGCATTGTGCAGGTTGTTAAACCTGTAGAGAGCTGTGAAGAGAGCTCTTTGCCACAAGTCCCCAATTAGGGTTCTGCCCACACAGCCATAAAACAGTTAGGGGAATCATTCTGAGGCCGTTAGATTTAACGCTATTAAGAGTTCATTAGTACCTGCATACACAACTGCTGCTGCAATGGGAGGATCATTAACATAGACCTGTTAAAGAAGGCTAGAGGCCTTTTCACTCGTATTAACTTAGTGCTCTCTTTTTGCATTCACCTATAGAGGCACTAACTCAAAAATATATATTGACTCTATTTTTGTCTTTATGCAGTGTGAGAAGAGCTCCTTATAATTGGTTGGAGTGAGGCTGTCCAAAAAACATCCCTTAGTTCAGGCTGCAGCTAAAATAATAACATATCAACTTTGGAAGTTATGGAGTACCACCAGATATACATTTTCTATCTGGTTTTATTTTGAATGATTAATAACATTGTCACCTTTCAAACTTTTGATTCAACACCAAGTTGCTAACTGGTCAAATCTATGACATCAATTGTTATGTCTAAATAATAAATCTGTTGGTGATTTTTCACCTAAAACATAAATCACAGGACTTAATATGTAGCATTATACACACTATAACACAAATATTTCAACGCTTGTCGATTCACAAGATAATCAGACACCATCAATCTAAACTGCTGCAGTATATGAAACCATTCTGTGTGTGCAATGCAAAATGGGATCTGCAGATAAAACAAACAAATGAAAAAACAGTGCGGTAAAGTAATGTTCCCTTTAATACATAGTAAGTACAATATAAAATAAATGTAGAATGCACACAGTAAAGAATGTAAACAATAGAGTAGAGTACATCTTATATAAACTGCACCTAATTAACTGTAGAGAGCGTAGTATAAATAAATAAACACTGGTGCACCGAGCGGATGTGAACTGAAGAAAGTGGAAGCAACTTGTTGAGAGAGACTGACACAGGGGAGGGGAGAGAAAGAAAAACATCTGTAGAAAGAGAGAGCGGTTTAGCAAGAGGTCGACAGAGACAGTGATGGAGAGACATCAAATGAAGAGAAAGGGCAATGCGCTAGAGAGGCCACCATGCAGTTTGTGGAAGAGGATGACTAATGACAAAATGCAGGGCAGTTATTAGTTCCACTTTGATCTTTCTTCATGTCCAGATAACAGGCAGAATAGTAGCTTCTTTGTGTGATGTATCAAAGGAAACATATATACACAGTTGACAAT